GGTTCGAATCCCCAGCTCGGACCTGCCAAACAACAATGACGGCTGCAACCAAAAAATAGCCGGGCGTTGTGGCGGGCGCCTGTGGTCTCAGCTACTTGGGAGGCAGAGGCAGGAGACTCGCTTGAGCCCAGGAGTTGGAGGTTGCTATGAGCTGTAATGCCACGGCACTCTACCCAGGGGGACAGCTTGAGGCTCTGTCTCAAAAAAAAAAAAAAAAAATGAACATTCACTTCTGGCCCCCAAACCTGAATCACAGCGCAGCTTCTTTTTTCTAAAAGGGGAAGAGGTCCTTTTGGGACCTACCGGGTGGGTGGCCTGTGTGTATGTGACAGGGAGGTGTTGGGGATTGAACAATTCCACTCTCCCTGCAGTCCTTGAACTGTGCTGTGTTACCCTGTGGGTTTCAAGGAAATTTAACTCCGGAGCAGAAAATCCCTTCCTTCTGCTATCAATCTTGGGGTCATTAACACCATTGCTGCTGGGATGCTGACAGGTCTCAGCCTGGTGCCCTGCCCCCATCTCCTTGTTCATAGGGACACCCAGCCTGCCCACCAAGCTGGCCCCACCTCACCCACATCTCAGTCTCTCTCCATCTACACTTCTGTCCTCTTGTTGGTCCCCACCCAACCCGGGTCAGCTTTGGGCTCCACTTCCTGCTCCTGCCTCCGCCTCTCCTCTGCCTGCCTTCCTCACCACCCCCAGGCTGTAGCCCTGCCTCCGCCCAGCCTGCCCTCCCAACAGCCCCTCCAGGTCTTGTGCTGGAGCTGCTGGGAGGGGTGATGGTGGGAGCTGCCCCTTGGCCTGCTACAGGTACAGCACAGGGCAGGGGTCATGCCAGGGTCCGCTCTTCGGGTGAGTTTTGGTTATTCCTGGGAGCATGTAGGAAAGCCCTTTCCCTAGACACTCCAATTTTCTTGCATAGCTATTGTTGTGCAGTACGAAGCAGAAGTCCAGGCTGGCATGGACAAAAGCAAGTGCACAGCCAGGCTTTCTGGGGCTTCTTTTCCCCTGAGCCTGCTGCAGGTTAGCAGTCAGAGGATAGTTGGTTAGTCCCTGCTCTGCAGGCTTCCACTGGGGACCTTGGGTGGGTCATCTCCTGTCTGAGCCTGAGGGTCATATCTGTAGGATGATAGACTTGGGCAGTGGAATCCCACCCTGGCTAGCCCAGGGAGCCACACTCATGCATCACAAATTCAAATGTCCATGGGGCCAAGAAAATATGGTAAGAGGCTGAAGCAGGCTTTTACATGGAGACATTAGGGAATAGTGGGGACTGCAGCAAATTGGAGCACAGATGCCCCATCTAAAGGGGAGACTTCCATTGACTGCTGCCTTGTGGGAAAAATAGATTACTATTATCTTCTTTTTGGGGGGGGGG